AATATAAAGTATATATGTAATAAAAGCGTTATTATACTGAAATGTTTATGAACAACTTACTTTTACGACTTCTAAGAAATTTATATACAAAGCACCAAATAAAAACAAGCATAACTAGGAAGGGCATAAAAGATGTCGCAAGAAGAATAGATGTACTAGGTCTATTTTCATGACTTATAGGCATATATGTTGGTGCAGGTTCTAATGTTCCTCGACTTGGAATTATATTTTTTATAGAACTAATTTCTAGTTTTTCACATGAAGTTAATTTCTGTGTACTATTGTATTGGCAAAGTTGTGGATCACATATAAAATTTGAATCTTTTGTTAAGCAACTACCTGGAAGATATAAAAATTTTCTTTTTTCTATAGCGCTATATAAAATGTCATCTATAAAAATTAATCTTCCGCTATAATATGCATTAAAACATGATAAATGACCATTTACAACTTCACATAAATGATACATGCATTTGTTCTCTTCAATATATTTCGTTTTTACAATATGACAGGTATTTCTACCAAAAGATAAATCCCTATATTTTAATTTAGTAACTGTATGTTTTGAATTTTTTGAACGTTTTATATTAATTATGTTATCTTTTCCATTAATAACGTCATATGAATTAAACGAAAGTGTTTTTCCTAAGTAGCTTGCATCAATGTGTTCACATATTGTTGCTTTTTGGCTTATTTTTCTAAGACGGCATAAATATGTTTTAGATGGATATTTATAAGAAAGAGCATTATATTCCGTTATTATACTGAAATGTTTATGAACAACTTACTTTTACGACGTCTAAGAAATTTATATACAAAGCACCAAATAAAAACAAGCATAACTAGGAAGGGCAAAAGAGATGTCGCAAGAAGAATAGATGAACTAGGTCTATTTTCATGACTTATAGGCATATATGTTGGTGCAGGTTCTAATATTCCTCTACTTGGAAATACGTTTTTTATAGAACTAATTTCTAGTTTTTCACATGAAGTTAATTTCTGTGTACTATTGTATTGGCAAAGTTGTGGATCACATATAAAATTTGAATCTTTTGTTAAGCAACTACCTGGAAGATATAAAAATTTTCTTTTTTCTATAGCGCTATATAAAATGTCATCTATAAAAATTAATCTTCCGCTATAATATGCATTAAAACATGATAAATGACCATTTACAACTTCACATAAATGATACATGCATTTGTTCTCTTCAATATATTTCGTTTTTACAATATGACAGGTATTTCTACCAAAAGATAAATCCCTATATTTTAATTTAGTAACTGTATGTTTTGAATTTTTTGAACGTTTTATATTAATTATGTTATCTTTTCCATTAATAACGTCATATGAATTAAACGAAAGTGTTTTTCCTAAGTAGCTTGCATCAATGTGTTCACATATTGTTGCTTTTTGGCTTATTTTTCTAAGACGGCATAAATATGTTTTAGATGGATATTTATAAGAAAGAGCATTATATTCAAATAAAAACATAATACCATCCACATCATTATTTGAAAGAAATATTATCCTAGAGTGATTATATGGTTCATAACGTTGATATTTAAATATGTTTTTTGATAAATCATTTAACTTGTTATTTGAATCGTTCTCTGCCTTAACTGGTAAAAAGTCATAACTCCATACTATTGGAGTGAATTTATACGAATTTAAAGGAAAAATACGCATAAAACATTTTATAATTTCTCCTTTTAAATTTTCGCATCCATCATTATATAGAAGTGCCATTTCTAAAATTAATGTAATATGCATATATTTTTCACATATGTTATTAATTAGAGTTCCGTAGTTTTTTCCTTAATATTTATTTAATTATTTCTTTTTTAATATGTCATTTTATTATAAATTGTATTTTATTCCTTGTAAAAATTATAATTTCTAGTAAAATAAGTAATATTTACAAAAAACTTAAAATTCGCTTTCTTAATTTTCTATTTAAAGATATTAGTTTAATTGCATTTTTTTTTGAAAAATATTTTTTCATATAATTTAGAATTTACATGACACTTTTTAATATATACTAATGTTTTGATTTTTTTTTTTTTATAAAAAAAATAAGAAACAAAAAATTTTAAAATATGTTTGTATTATTTATTTAATGTAAAATGGTAGTAATATACATTTGAGAACTTATATATTAATAAATATGTAATCATTTTCAGAATAATTAAAATTACAATTATATTAATAAAAAAATATATAATAAAATTTATAGTTATATTTCTTAGTAACTATAAATAAACAGCAATCGTGTACAAATGTATTATAACAGTTAATATTTAGTTATATAGTGCGACAGAGAAGTAACCAAATAGTACATGCGATAATGTTTTCGTATGTAAATAACAATAAGCTAAAATTGAGAAAAACAAAAAAAAATAAAATAAAATATAGATAAAATAAATTTTAATTTATATAATAATAACATTAAAATATATATTTAACTCACTTTAAATACTAGATAAAAATATATTTAAGTAAAAATGTTTATCTATATTAACAGAGTAAATATTCAAACTGTTTAAATTGTATTAGAACATTTAAGAATTTAATAAAAAAGATAAAAACAAAATTCTTTTGTTTTACTTATACTATTTTAAAATTTCATTTAATTTTTTCAAATATTATATTAACTCCTATTAACTTATTTTACGTCAATGATCAAAATATATTTAACAAACAAATATATTTCTAAAGATCAAAAAATTTTACAAACGAAACGTTTAACCAAGAGATTCAAAGGAATAAAAAAAATGTCAATATAAAATAAATTTAACAAAACAAAAATAATTAAAAAAATGACTTTTTTTTTTATCTTAACTAACAAATATTCATTGTTAATTTTATATTTTCTATGGAGATATTGAGTATTATTCGGAAATATTTGACAGTAGTATCTTTTATAAATTGTTTATCTAATAGTGAGTTTTATCATTTACCTAGTTTTAACGAATTAATTTTTAAAACAATGAAAAACTAAATTAAAAATTTTAAAAAAAAAAAAACATAAAAAATTGTTAATAACTTTAATTTAAACTTATTATTTTCTTCTAAAAAATTATCTCATGCACTGTAAAAAATTAAAATATCAATTATTTTTATTCATAGTGTTTTCTATTTTTATGAAGGCATAGTATTTTTTTAATATAAAATCTACAATGTGTACGAATACATAACTAAAGAAAATTTTTGAACCCTTTTTCTTTTTTGTTTAATTATTAAATAAATTAGTAATTAAATTGATTTTTAGTGCAGATAATGCGAATAGAGACACGATCAAGAAAAAAATAAAAATGTACATATTCATTTTGTTGCTAAAATATGCACATAAAATAAATCATACCCTTTGATATACATTTTCGAAAAGAAAGATAAAATTGAAATATACGTTTTTTTTATAAATATTTTTTCAAACATTATATGAAAATATAAAAGAAGAGGAGAAAGAAGAAAAAGAATGTGAAATGGTGCTATCTGTATGTCAAATGCTATATAAAATAATGAATCTATTATGTTCATCTTATTCTTTTGTATAATTAAAATATATATTTAACTTTTTTTTTTTAAAAATAATATACATAAGAAATCTATGATTTATCCATGGTAATTTAAATATTAATATTTGTATGTTCTTTGATAAACATATGAGGTGAAATGTAGACACATATTATACATAATATTAAGAAAGTAATATATCGATTTTTTCATATTACAATTATGAAAAAAAATATTAGCAATTCAATTTATATTTAGGATATTCCTCACTAATTTTTTATAAAAAAAATTATTATTTCAATTCATTAATCTATGTATTTTCGTATACCAAACAATTCCGAAGTATATTTAGGTATTCATTATGTTTTTATAAAAACATAATTTAACATAAATTTCTTTTTTATAACCATAGTTATTATAAAATAAACATTCTTTTTCATAGCCCCATGGTGAAAAAGCATCCCTGCCGTATTTTAGTATGTCCATTACAAGTATTTATTTCATTCCAAGGTATTTAAATATAATAGATTTATGCGTACTTTTTAGTAACTTATGCACTATTTTTATACAAAGTAGCATTTTATTTATTAGAAACATTATTCTTCACTAATAAAACATCTTGTTTTTAGATTAAAAAACATTTAGTGTATTTCAATATTTATTAACACAAAATAATATTTTTGAAGTAAATAAATAAAAACCATATTATATCGTAACTATGTATAACTTAAAAAGGTATATGCGTCTTATTATAAATAAATATTTGTATTATATGTATATATAATAAAAGTAATAACGATTGTATAATTTTCGTTATAAATGATATAATAAACTATTTAAGGAAAATAAGTTTTGTTGTATAAATTATTAGTTTATTAAAAATTTTAAAATCTACAATCTATTATGATATATTCTAAAAAAAAAAAATTATTCCATCTTTTTTATGTTTAAATATATGTTATATATATATTCATTATAATAATTCAAAACACTATAACTATAAATAATTTTTTCTGGCTATACTAAAATTAGTATAAATGAAGATTGTTTTTAATATAAATTTACTATGCTAAATATAATAACTTAAAAAATATATTTTATACATAACCAATTTATATTATATTATATCAAAGTGCAAATATATGAATAATCTATTTTTTATGTGACAATAAAATTTAACTTTTATGAATTTTTAGAAATTTACTTGGAATATTTATTAATTTCTAAAACAAAAATATAATTATGAGTATTATATCTCTAACTAATTAAGAAATTTTTTTAAATTATTTATTTTAAGAATATAATTCCCCTATCATATTTATCATAATTATTCTTATCATAACAAAAAAATATTTTGAGAAAAAATATAATAAATATAATTAATATAATTATTATTGCTATAATTGATTTACAATATACGATGTTTCCAATTTGCATTATTATTGATGAGCAAGAACTTTCTTTTATATTGTAGTGCTGTTTTTTTAACAAATAATATTAATAGTTCTAAATTTGTCATTTGTTTATTCATTTTTCTTTTATTGTCTTATATCTCATGAGAAAGGTGAAATTTTGCTAATTACATTGTCTGTTTGATTTACATTATTATAATCTTTAAAATTATTTGTATGATATTTAAAAAAGCAATTTTTTCGGAAAAACAAATTTATATAAATATATATATGTCTTTAAATAAATGAGGTTATTTTTTATATCAATGCAAAATTTATTTACGAAAATCATAAAAAGATAAAAAAGAAGAATTTTTATTTCATTTATTGGTTAATAAAAGGCTTCATTAACTATTTTGGCTATAATAGGACTAGCTATGTGGAGAATACGTAGTTAGTTCTGCTAACTAAAAAAAAAAAAAAAAAAAAATTATTGGAATTTTTTTTTTGAGAAATGTTTCTTTTGAAAAAGATAAAGATAAAAAAATAAAATAAAAAAAAAAGATTTAATTTATTTTTTTGAATAGAGAGAGAGATTTTTTTTTACAAAAGATAATAATGTTTTGTAAAAGAGTTTAATTTACATAATATTTATATTGTGAATTTGTGAGAGAAAATTTTATACATATGACAATAAAATTTTCACATAATTAATATTCATATAATTTATTTGCATTTTTAATAATTCTTTATGTTTGCTAATTCAACAGCAATATATGTAAATTGTTGAATATAACTCACAACAAAGAAATAATTAAGTTACCTTTAATTATTAGTTAATATTCAATAAGAATTTTGAATATTTAATAAAAATAAGGATTTTTATGAAAATAAATAAATTCCTATTGAAAGTAAAGAATGTTGAACGAAGTAGAGTACGTAGTTAAGAAGTACTCGTTCAAAGCATATTAAAAATACATATAAATACAACAAAATCGTAGAGACACTTCTACATGATCTTTATTAATTGGTTTGTTCAGTACTACAATGAAATCACCGAACACCCAGTTAATAAACCACTTGGTCAATTCTATTTTTCATTATTTACGTAAATAAAATAAAATATATTTATTGTATTATTAACTGAGAAATTATTGTAATTTATTCATTAGTTAGATGATGAAATTATAAATTTTAGTGTTTAGGTGTTTTATAATACTTACAAACATATTTTCTCTTAATTATTTTATTTTATTCTTATGAAAATCATATTTTTTTTAATTAATGAATATGTCTAAACATGTATTCATAAAGAAGTAACTTATGCAATACACTAAAATTCTCACACAAAAAAAAACTTATTCAACGAAATCAACGATTATATATATATGTATATTTTAATAAAAAAAATATAGATGAACCAAGATAATTTATTTTTTTTATAAAAATATTTTTTTAAAGCAATTAAAAGTTACAATAATATAATTTTTAAAAGTAAATTAAAAATTATATAAAATGTATTAAGCATTTTTAATTTATCTATAATAAAAAAATTTATATTCTTAAAAAGAGCATATTAAGAACTTGTTAATTATACTACATGTTTCTCACTTTATTTCTTAGTTCAGGTATTAATTTTTAATATTTTTTATTTAATACAAGTTTTCGTGCTTCAATATATATAAACATCACAAAAAAATAACCATACATCATAATAGAAAATTATTTTTAATTATAATATTAGACTTTTATATTCTTGTTATTTATAATACACTAATATAATGAATAAACTTCAATAAAGATATGAAAAATTCAATTATACAATAAAAAATTCTTTACATT